CCCAAAACCCCAAAACCCCAAAACCCCAATCCCCAAAACCCCAAAACCCCAAAACCCCTATTTTGTATACAATATTGAAAGATTGATTAAGAAGGCCCATCAGGAATTATAACTTAATGACTTCTTCTAGGTCCTTAATATCTTCTATATCATTGACTTCGCTGATCTCTTGAAGCTCATCGTCAAGGTTGTCTAGTTTGTCAATTTCGTCCTCTTCATCGTCTTCTTCTTGAATTGGAGGAGTCTCTCTTATTTTTTCACCAACTTCAGTGTCAAAATAGAGAGGTTGCTGACGAATGTCACCTATTTTAAAGTTATGCATATTCGTGATAATGGAAATATTTGGAGAAATTGGTATTTAGCTAATATATGCCTCCTAACAACCAGTGAGCCCGAGTAGTCATAAAGATAAACAATTCTTACTCTGAGAGACTAGCTTCCTATCTGTCCTATTGTGGTCAACTTGGAATGAAAGAGTGATGTTATTTTGTTTTCTAAAGGTAAAACAATGTTACTTTGGATCTTTTCTTTCTTCGTCTGAAAGTTTATATCGGACAATTTCAAGAGCTTCAGAATATTTCTCAATGGTCTGGTGGTTGTAGCTCTTCGGCTCATAAGTCAATGTGTTATCTAAAGTTCGGGATTTGACTCTTAAAGGGGAAGATACCAGAGCACATCCTCTAAATATCTTCAAGAAAGCTACATTTTTGTGGGTGAAACAGAAAAAAATGTACAAAACCAACCCTAAGAGAGTCATTAAGAAGAAAGGGATCCCAGTCAAGACAAACATTCTGTCAATGAAGTTTCTCTTAGTGGGCAAATAGTACTCTAGTGAGAGACCATAGACCAACCCGCTCTCAGTTCTTGTATCTGTAGGGAAGATCTCTTCATTACCATACATGGCTATTGACATTATTCATGTAGAAATAAAAACAATGCAGAGTGTCTGGATGGTATATTGCCTAATAAAGTTTGTGATTGCTTCCATTCTTTTATAGACCCTTAGGATTAATGCCTTCTCAATAAAGCAATGTGTCAACAAATGAACATAGAATAACACTGGGAGCAAGGGCAAACCAGGAGAGAACATGAAGCAGATGAGGAAATGAGAGGCAAGTCTTCCTATTTTATGTGAATAATCAAGTTCAACACCTTCATGAGCTTTGTCCAGCTCTTTTTGGAGTACTGCTCTCTTTTTCAAAATCCCTCTGTATATCTTGTTGATGAGAATCAAGATGGCAACCTCTAGAGGGTAAATCACCAATAAAGCTAGGAAGTACCAAAGGTAGAGAACCCCTGTCTTGAGGTACCACTCCCTCGGCATTGAATGCTCACTTGAGTCAAATACTATTATTGGAAAGACTCCAATCAGCAGTGAATTTAACAAAAATACAGAAATACTGGTCAAGATTTTATTTGTTGTTTTCCTCCTAAAATTCAGGATTCTACTACTGAATGCTAATTTTATTGAGTATGAAATAAACATACTCGTGCAGATCATTACTGTAGTTGCTATAAATACATTCTGGTAGATTTTATCATAGTTCTCAGTCCACCTACTTCACAGAGTCTTGATTCCGGTAAGACTAGAATTCGTGCCTCCATTAGATTCGATAGTTTCTTTGCCATGATATCTGCAGAAACATTGGATCTCCTGATTGCCACTTGGGACTGTATTAATAGAACTGGTGGAAGATGCCACTACAACACTCTCTGCGAACAAGTATTGTTTTCAGTCTTTGTAATTTGGAAAGGTATTATACACCTCTCTTACTTCATTGATGGAGTAATGCAAACAGAGCCCACTGATTACGCTGATAAGAAGAAGTGCTCCCAATATGTAGAAAGACTTCGCCCAAAAAAAGAGACTTTTGAATTTCCAAAATGAGTCTTGTCTATAATTTTTAACAATGAGCATTACTCTAAATTAATTTCAAATGGTTCAACTCCTTGGTGAACTTTAAACCCATATTTAGAGTTTAGCTTCATATCTTGTGGCATTTTAGAAGGTCTTGACCACCAATTGGAATAACTAGAGTATGCATCTAGACAGTCATTTCTATCTTTGAGTCTATGGAACACGACAGCAATTTCCTTTGGAATCTTAGTTTTCTGAAAATCGTTACACAATTCAGACTGGGATTTTTCTAGTCACTCAATTTTTGAGACTATTTTCCTAATCTTTCCTTCAATACAAATTTTATTGATTCCTTCTCTAGCTTTAAGGTCTGAAAGTTGCTGATTAAGTCCTGAAAGTCTCAACTGATTCTTAAGGATATTGCCGTATTCATACATTGGAACTATCTCGAATAACCCGCTATAAAATTAAGGGTAAAGATTAAACCTGTTGCCTCCATATTTGTTGAAGGTATTTTTGAGGTCAGAGGAGATATCCCCTTCGTAGCTCCTATCAATCTCTGTCACAAATATTGTGAATTCTTTGATGCTAATAGGGTGTGGCTTCTTCTTAAGCTCCTTCCAATTCTTGCCAATTGTGAGATTCTCTACATTCCTCGATTCGTGATTGACCATAATTATATGGTATATAACAAATAAGAGGAAGAAGATCACCAATAATACTTGGCAAGGGAGGACGATGTCCCTACCCTTTGAAGCATTATCCATCTGTATCTCCTTTGCTAAGCTCCCGTATGCTTTATAGTCTAGGCCATCTAAGTTGCCCAAAGTCGTCTTTTCAATCCCGAATCTATTTCAAAGTCAGCATTTTCTAGGTGAGTAATTTAGAATAAGAAGTACAGATCTGTTAGGGATTCTGCTTACCTAATGTCCTTGTCTTCATAAAAGTTGCATGTTAAAAGATAAACCACTTGGCATATAGAGAAGAGGCATAGGAATAGGGTGAATGTCAGTCGTTTCAGGAAGAATAAATAAATTCCAAATGAAGGATGAGACTCACTTCTACCTATAATAGACTCTACCGAGGATCTCCAATATGAAAATTTAGACCTTTCTGGACTTCCTCGAAGCATTGTAAGTTCTCTGTGCTCTCTAGCCTTTGTGGCATTGGCTTGTTTTGGGATATCTTTTGCTGCAATATCTCCACTATCTTTGTGAGACCACTCGATATCATTGAATTCATTGACTCCAAAGTTGCCTTCTCTTGTAACAAGTTTGGAGCGATCTATGTTGTAATAAATACCCAATCTAGCAGACAATAAAAGAGTAAGTCATGAGTAATGGCAGCCAAAAGGATTATCTAAATTCTCAAGACAATTAAAGAAATAATTCTACCTTTGGGAGGCTCAAGTTTCTCAAGTCTTGCCTTTGGAGAGTCAGAAATTTGTCTAAGAGAATCAGCTCGAAGTGTCTCAAAGTTAGGAGCATTAGGTGAAACATCTGGCTCGGCTCTTATCTGTTTGCTAACAGGTGTGATTGGAGGTAGAGTGGGAATGTTACTGTTACTCTTCTTCTTACTTCTCTTTAACTCGACTTCGTTGGTAAAGTTCATTATTTTATTGTTCAATTCAGATAAATTTATTAGGGGTTTTGGGGTTTTGGGGTTTTGGGGTTTTGGGG